AAAAAAAAAACGACAATAAAGGTTGCTTTATCTTATTGTATCTAATGCAAGAGTGGAGATGAAATAATTTCTCTTGCCCTCTCCATTCATAATTGTTGCCTGGCCTCCTGCCTCTATTTATTTGGCAGATAATGGTCAGCAGCAAAGGGTTGTTTTGCACACACATTGCTGTCCATGCAACATACAACCATACAAACTCAGTGTTTTGAATCGAATACAAGCTTCACTCTTCCAACAGCTGAATAGCAATAGAGCAGTAGACAAGAAGAACACAGACAAATACAGGGGAGGAAAGATGCATCGGAAATGCAAATGTGTGCTCACTATAAAGAAGATTTAAGTGATTGCCATTTCCATTTCATTTATATATTTAGAAGGACATACAGTACCTGTCTCCCTGAACTTCTCAATGGAAGATTATCAGGTGCTTGATCTAAAGCAGTGACCTTTTTCTTCGTTCGGACTCTGCCAGCTGACATGGTACTGGAGGGTTTAAAAAAGAGAAAGAGGAACATTAAGCAGTCTTCTTAAAGGAGAGTTTGAAGTCCCCTGCTATGCTCCCTAGATAAGAGAAAAGGCCATTATTTGGTCTTACTTATAGGTACCATTCCATCAACTGATCCATCTGTCAGCTGAACTGGGAAGAAGGAAACTTGCAAGAATTTCTTTTTAGGAGCACAGTATAAAGAACAAAAAGTAATCATAACAAAGCTCTTCATTCCCATCCCTCAACATACGTAACATCCATGGATTGCCCTAGACCCTGAAGAAAATCTCTGTTGGTCTTGGCAAGAAAAGAGAAGAATGGTTCTTGAAGAAAATGAAAGAAGTTCCTTTATGGTCAACATAAGGTTGCATCCAGTAAAACGCCATCTAAAAGTTGTTGGGAAAATACATATATTTAAAAGGTTCCTCTGCTGAATTTGTTTTCATCTGCCCAAAACCTGCAATTCCCAGGAGATCCTACTAGTAGCTCCCTATTTTTGTAAACCAAAAGGGAACAGAAGCCCACAGACCTCGCTCCTCTGCTGGGATGGTGTTTCGGATCTTGTTCTTACTAAAATTCAACCAGCCCTTGCTTTATTAGTTTGGAATGTATTAAAGGCAGAATAATTTAAGAAGGCCTCAGAATTATGAAGATTGCCATCTGTTTATATTTTCTGACTGCTGTTCTAGCTTTTACTGTATTGTGTTGTGGCTTTTATGTTACTTTGTGAATGTTTATTTTAGACCTAGATTTACTGAAACGTGATTATTGTAACTTGCCAGATGTTTGTCAATTGCAGTTAAACAGAAATCAATCAAGAAAATACTTCAGCCCAAGCAATAGCAAGAAGACAACCTGGCATGACAACTTTTCATCCATCAGGATATTCTGAGATACACCCTAGACAGATAAAATAATCCTCAGAAAGTGAGTGTAACTTAACAGATACTCCGAGCACAGGCTGGGTTTATTAAAAACAGATCCTGCCAGACAAACCTTGTTGCCTTCTTTGATAAAAGTGACTAAATTACCAGATCAAGGAAATGCTTTGGATAGAGTTTACTGGGGCTTCAGTAAGGCATTTGACAACAGTAGATTTAGATTTAGTAGATCACAGCCTACACCTTGGTAAAATAGAACAATGTGAGATGGACTATCACTTAAGCACAAGGCAGCAGCCTGCTGCAGCTGCCAAAAAAGCCAATGCTGTTCTAGATTGCATCAACAGAAGGGTAGCATCAAGATCACTAGAAATGATACCAGTCTATATTGCACTAGTGAAGCCACACTTGGAAAACTGCATCCAATTCTGGTCACCACTACACAAAAAATATGTTGAGACCGTAGAAAGAGTACAGAGAAGAACAATAAAAAATAAGGGATCTGGATCATGAACGGTTAAGGAAAGTAGGTAACGAGGGAAAGAATTAGGAGTGGCAGCTGTCTTCCAGTACTTGAGGGGCTGTCACAGAGAGGAGGGGGTTAACTTATTCTTCAAAGCACTTGAGAGCAGGACAAGAAGCAATGTGCAAAAGCTCATTAAATAGTGATCCAACCTGGAACTATTATAAGAAGAAATTTCCAGAGAGTGAGAACAATTAATCAAGGGGACATTTTGCTTCCTGGAGTTCTGGGTGCTTGGAGGTTTTTAAGGAAAGATTTTGGTTTTTGTCCAGGATGAAATTGACATTCAGCTGAAGTTTTTTTTTTTTTTTTTTTTTAAGAGAACTGAAAAATCAATATACCATAGAAGATTGTCAGGAACATTTACTGTTCATCAACTCCACAATTCCTTATGGACTATACAAGTAGTCCTCAAACTTATGGCCATAATTGAGTCTGCAATGGTCATAAGCATGAAAAACATGTCACTTTTTTCTATGCCATTGTAACTTCAAATGGTCACTAAATGAACTGTTGTAAATAAGAAGACGGGTTGCAATTGCATGAGAAAGAAGAAAAATTATGGTTCCCGTAAGTTTCATAATAGAAAGGGCAGTTTTCTTTTCACCTAGGAATCCAAGAACCCAATTTTCAGAGGTTCAGTCAAGTCAATCTGCAATAATACAACAAAAAAGAAAGAAATCATTGTAAAGACAAAGGAAAGTGGCATAAACCGCACTGAGCTCCTTTCTCACTCCTCCCAATTTCCTCTTTTCGGCAAGAAGTAGAAATATCAAGTCCATTTCCGATCATAATTTTAAAAAAGCTTTATTTATATTCATTCATGCCCACCTGCCTAGAAGGGAAGCACTTCTTTGAATCCCCCCAATTCAACACTTCACTGTCTCCAAGGAGACAAAAACCCGGCCTGGAAATCTTACCCTCCTCTGGTCTTCTCCTAATCCTGATGAAGCTTCGTAGAGTTTTATTTATTTTATAATGCATTTTATTTTATTTTTATTTCCACCCTGCCCCTTGTAATAATGAAAAGACCATGGTATGTGTCTGTCTCTCTGTGTGGAGGGGACGGAGGGAAGGTGGCGCCCCGGCAATGAAACTGCGCTCCGGTCACCAGAGCGAAGTCCCTTTCAAAATTCAGCATCTGCAAGGCAAGAAGCAAAAAAAAAACCTCTTTCTTGCACAAACGCCCCCGATCCACACATGCGGAGGACATGCAGTTTGGGGAGGAAGGAGGGGGAGAGAGACCGCGGGTCAAAGAAAAGCACCAAAGACCCTCAGCAGGGCCACTTTAACGTTCCCCTCCCCCCACCGCAAGAAGGAACGGGCGCCTCGGTTCCTCCAGCCGTAGGATCCCCGTAGGATCTCTTACCCCTCCGAGCCAGAGCCCTTCCCGCCGGCCGACCCAGCACCCAGCTCCACCGCAGCTGCTTCCGCTGGTTCTCAGCGCGGGGCGTGTCGGGCGAGGGGAGGAGACAATGTTGCCAGCCCCTCGCTTCCTCTTTTCTCCGCCCGGCCGGCCGCGCAGCCTGGAGAAGGGACGTCGCGCATTGCAGCAGCTGCGCCTCCGGAGGAGCTGAGCCGCGCTTCGCCCGTTGCCGCCCCGTCCCTACCACCGCTTCCTCTTCGCTCAGGTTGCTGTTGTTCTCGTTTCCCGCCACTTTGTTCCGGCTGCTGTTGTTTTTCTCGGGTTGCAGGTCCGAGGGAAGGGGTGGGGTTGGTGGGGGAGGGGTCATTGGTGCCTTGCTGGTTTTCTTGCAGACGTTTCTTGACCAAACTAGGTAACATTATCAGCGTTATCCCAGAGGTGCTTTTTTTTTTCCAGAGGCAACTGGACATTCTGTGTGTTTTTTTCCTTCTGTGTGTTTTTCCGTTTCGCTTCTCACCCAAGAAGCTTCTGAAGAGCTCAAGAAGCTTCTTGGATGAGAAGCGAAACGTCTTCAAAGAAAAAAAAACATGAATGTCCAGTTGCCCCTTGGGGGGGGGGGGAGCACTTTTGCGACAACCATGAGCTGGGTGACCGAGAATCTTCATAGACATTATCAGTGTTAGGTGAGGGAAGGAGGTGAAAAGGCAGGCCGTCAAATCAAACTTAGCCATTCGTTTATTTCTATCGCTGGTTTCTATCGCTGGTTTCTTTTCCATTTGTGGGAACACAAGGATGGTATTCAGGATAATCTGTGGAGGTTCTCAATCATCTAGCTTAGAGTTGTCCAAAGTTGCTTTTCCAAAAGGCAACTGGACTTTTGTCTTTTTTCCTTGAAAACATTTCGCTTCTCATCCAAGAAGCTTCTTCAGTTCAGAACTTGGATGAGAAGTGAAACATTTTCAAGGTAAAAGCCAAGAAAATCAAGTTGCCTCTTGGAAAAGCACCTTTGGACAACCCTGATCTGGACTGAGAATTTCCACAGACTCTCCTGAGTGAACACTATCTTGGTGTTCCTACAAACCCAGGATAGTTGATATGAAATGTACAATAATAGTGAAATCAATGCGGTGAACAATCAAAATAAAATGACAAACTGATGTATTTTCATTTTAATGTGTGGCTGCATCTGGTTGATCTTGGCTGAAGTTCAGTATTTGAATGGGCGACCACCAAAAGATTTTAGGGAAGAAGGAAAATGGCTTGGAAGAAAGCAATAGCAAACAACATCCCTAATTTGTCAATTTTTACTGAAGTTTCAGTGGAGTCTTCAGGAATTCAGATCCACTCAAGGAAAGTCTATGCTGGCTTACATTGGCTTGATTTCAATTCAGTGACTGCTAGTTTGCTCACGTTTGCTAGAAAATGCAATGAACACTCAGTTTTAATTTTGAGCGGAAAGAGATATACAATTGCAGGAACGTTAGAGCCCAAATGCAGCTTTCAGTTTTAAAACTTTAGAAATGGTAAAGGGACACGGTTGTTCAGTGGCTAAGACACTGAGCTGGTCGATCGGACAGGTCAGCAGTTTGGCAGTTTGAATCCCTAGCACCACATAATAGAGTGAGCTCCCTTTACCTGTCCAGCTTCTGCCAACCTAGCAGTTCAAAAGCACGTTAAAATGCAAGTAGAAAAATAGGGACCACTATGGTGGGAAGGTAACAGCATTCTGTGTGCCTTCGGTGTTTAGTCATGCCAGCCACATGACCATGGAGATGTCTTCGGACAGTGCTGGCTCTTCAGCTTTGTAACGGATGGATCAATAAAACACCTAACAGCAGGAAAAAAACAACCTGAACATTGAAGGGTACAAGCAGTATATTTTAATGTGCTGGACAAAGCAGCATTTGAAAAGAAGTTTAACATCTTCTCCAAAACTAAAGAAAAAAAGACCCATGGGAATGTTTTAAATAATGAAGGGAATCACACAGGCGGAGATGGGTTTTCAGATATTTTGTTCTACAAAAAACATTGAAAGACTGCCACGGTTTTGAAACAAGCCCAGTGAACTTTCGCCACATTGTTCTATCTGAACTTTCTGGATATTCTAAAAGAGTAATCTGCCATCACCGGGACCTTAAATTAGAAAAGCACCCAGGAAAGTAGTGGCTGACATCTATCTCTTTAATGTCGGTTAGGAAAACACATCTATGGGAAGTAGGAAGCCACCCAAGGAAACAGCTGAAAATTAGGCAATAGATATGGTGGATGTGTGCTTTAAACAAATCAGGAAATTGGGAAGCAGTTACTTGAAACTGTCTTCACTATTCAAATGAGCAAGGAGAATTGATCACATTTTGAATCAATTTAGGATTTAGGATGCTATGAAATTTGTTGTGGGTCTGGTAGCAGTGTGGTAGCATTTTTTGTAACATATGGGGTTAGAAATCATGCTGAAGTGAATCATCATGATGATTGCAGCTCAGAGAACACCACTCTGCCCTTTGTCCTTTCCCCGTCTTGCAGACATTCATTAACATAACCATAATTCATGCTCTTCCTTTCCTCCCTCTCTCATACACACACACTACTTTCACTTGTTTAGGGAATCAGCAAACCTGTACGTTATTGGATCTATGCTGTGGAATGAACTACGAGGAAAGCCAAATACAATTCTTTAAATAGCTATTTCCGCAAATAGTAGCTCTCTGCATATGTTGCACTGTTGTTTTAAAAATGATTTTTAGCCTGAGGGTGTAAAACCCTTTATCTTATGAATGTAGAAAAAGGTTTTTTTAAAGGAATAATTCACGGATAGTTTTTGAATATGTCAAACTGTACAAAGGTTGTCTGGACCATGGAAAATTCCTCCAGCTCCTCTAGAAATGAAGATCGTGATGATCCAGAGTTACAGTGGGATCGAGTGATGACCGAAAAAGACTGGCTAAATTTCTGGGAAACAAACAATATTGGATTTCATAACAAGGAAGAACATCAGTAAGTATTCTGCTAGCCTCTTGACTTTCAGCTGATAATCACTTTTATTTATTTATTTTTAAAAAAAACATTGCCACTTTGCAAAATGTCTGAAAGAGGCCTGGCTCATTCACAGCATAGCTGCCAAGGGGCATATGGCCTCTTTTGAAATGCCACTTCATATTTTGCCATCTTTTCTTTTGATTGAGCTGCAGTCACCAATTAGGTTTATGGAGCCCTTTTGGGCTCAGAGATATTTTTGAAATAAAAGTGATACTGTCACTATATATATATTTTTTTTACTTTAGCACATTCGCTTCTGTTTATTGCATTTTTATACAGTGGCACCTCAGTATTCACCGTTAATTGGTTCCAGGAGGTGCAATGAGTACTAAAAATTATGAACACCCAAAAAATTTTTCCCATAAGGAATAATATACTGACTCCCAAGTTAGCCAACACCAACAAATTCTAGCTTGTGCATTGAGTACCCAACAAATGATGAGTACCAGGACAAGATTTGCACGTCAAAATGCATTGAGTATCAAATTTGATGAGTTTCAAAGCAGTTGAGTACCAAGGCACCACAATATGCAGTATGGAAGAGTCTAGAGATGTCCCTGAGCAACACCTTGGTACACTAGGGCAGATTTTTTTTCCCTCTTTCCATCTCTCCCTCCATGCCATGCTTATGATCACAAAAGTTTTATTAACACTCATAGCCATGGAAATATATTTTGAGAACTATTAATTCAGGAGAGTTAATTATTTTGCTTTGCAGAATCATAGGGTAAATGTGTTCAGGTCTGATAAATTCAATATTTCCAGATTGTCAAGGAAGTCCTTTAGGTATTGTTCCAAGGGTTCCAATCACTATTGGTATAACAATGGATTTCTTTTTCCCTAAGCATTCAACTTTGATCTGCAAGTTCTGATATATTTTGTAATTGTTTCCTGTTGTTTTTCCCTCAATCCTAGCATCATCTGGAATAGCAACATCAATGAATCAGATTTTTTTTTCTTTTCAACAACTGTTATATCAAGCCTGTTATGAACAAGATGCCTGTTTGTTTGTATCTTAAAATCCTATAAGATCTTAACCTGCTCATTTTCCAAATCTTCTGAACTTGATGGTCCCAATAATTTTAACATATTCCAGTCCATACCTCTGCCAAAAGTTTCCAATGAATAATTCTGGCAACTCAATCACGATGCTGTTTATAGTCAGTCTGTGAATTTGGCTTCAGCCCCACTGATCAAATGGTCAATTCGTTCATCCTTTTTATTACAATTTTCCCCTTCATGCCAATTAATTGGCAATTCTTGTTCTTGAGCTGGAAAAATAAAGCCTTCAGTTTCTTTCTTTAAGACTCTTGATCTTAACCAACTCCATGTGGGTTTTAAAATAAGTTTTCCTTCTATATCCTTCAAGTATTGACCATACATTTGCTTGTTCTTCCAAATAACAAACTGCTTTGCAATTGTTTCTTTTCTATATTCAGTCTTCATCTTTGTTGTTTTCAAGTGCTTTCCTTGGTTGACTGCCTTCAGCTTTTCTTAATGTAGTCCTTCAGGTCATGCTGAAGAAAGCTCACTATTTGAATTGGTATTTTACAAATTATTAATTGGTTCTATAAGAACCTGAGTGTTGCTGTATGTTCTTTAAAAAAAAATAACATTTACTTTTCTCTTTTTCTCCCCAGATTCCTGAAGAAATACTTGGATATTTTTGTCAATGGCAGGAAGGAATTAAAAATATTTTTTCCACTTTGCGGGAAAGCTGTTGAAATGAAATGGTAAATGATTCATCAGATCATTTCAGTTTTATCTAGATTATGTTATACTACTTCATGGATATAAACAAATAACAACTAATAAAACATGGGGAAAAAGATTGGATATTTTTGCTGAGTCCCTCATGTATTTTCAGCTCTGTGATAATTCTCCTTCACTAGGTAAACTTAAGCCATGTATAATGGTACCTTGAAACTTATTAAATTTGGTCCTCGATGCATTTTGACACAATAATTTTTCCTGTACTCATTGCTTGTCTGGTACTCAATGCACAAGCTAGAACTTGTTGGTGCAAGTTCCTTGTGACTCACTACATTATTCCTTATGGGAAAAAGTTGTTTGGTGCTCATCGTTTTTGGGTCTCATTATGCCTTCCGAAATCGGTTGATGATTAGTACTGAGATACCAACAAGTTCTAGCTTGTGCATTGTGTATTTCAAAATCTTCACCTTGCAAAGTCATTCTCCTCAAGCTGAGAAATGAACCAGCTTTCTTGAACATGCCATCCTCCAGAGCTTTGGACTTTAGCATCCATCATCCACAAACATTAATGGACCAGCTGGGACACATGGAGCTGGAATCCAAACCACCTGAAGACTGTCTAGTTGTGAAATATGGATTAGGATTTAAACGATTCAATCTTAAATCCAATTTAAAAAGTCTTCCTTTATAGCTGAATCAATTTATTGAGACAAGCCATTGTCTGTTAAAACAAGCAGAAGCTGTGCCAAGACTCTAATAATCAGTTAGACCCTTTACAGTCAGCCAGAGATGTTAACTGAGAGTGACACTCAATAGAGAGTTATGATTAGAATAGTCTGAGGCTGAAAAACATGCAACTGTCTAGATATTGCTCAATTATACATGAAGTCTTGACTTACAACCATTTGTTTAGTGATATTCTAAATTACGAAGGCACTGAAAAAAGTGATTTATGACTCTTTCACACTTACGACCGTTGTTGCATCCCCATGGTCACATGATCAAAATTCATCTGCTTGGCAACTGGCATGTATTTTTTTTAAGTCGCGGTGTCCCAGGGTCACCTTTTGCAACCTTCTGAAAAAACAAAGGCAGTGGGGAAGCCAGATTCACTTAACCGTGTTATTCACTTAACAGCTGCAATGATTCAGTTAACTATGTTATAAAATGGGTCAAAATTCACTTAACAACTGCCCTACTTAACAATGGAAATTTTGGGCACAATTGGGGTTGTATGTCGAGGGCAACCTGTAGTTCCTACGTTCCTAAGCCTAATATCCCAACAACATCTGGAGCAGTAATTGCTCCCTGCTCTGAGAATAATCAATAAAATATGAAGGTTTTCCCATTTGTAACGCAACCCATTTGGATGCACATACTTTTTAACATATTATAGTAGTAACATCTTTATGTTGTTCACAAAAATGCTACTATCAAAATGGATTTTTCTAAGTCTGATTGATTGATGGATAGTCACCAAAGGAACCAATGTAATTTGGGCTGTGCCCCATTTTGAACAAAATGGGGGAGGCGGGGGAATCTCATTCATTACATCAGTGCACTGATGGTTTATGATGCCATGTTTCATCAAATGTTCCCATTTTATCAAGGTTCCACCATCTGAGTGAATTTAATCAATGTAGCAATAAACTATTAAAATGTAAGTTAATAATGTAGACCAGTTTTACATTCAAAGCAGATGCTGTACTCCACGCATCTACATCTTAATATTCCAATTTTATTACATCACTATTGGGAAAAAAGGGGGGAGGAAGGCACCCCATGCTTTTAACTTAATGGGGGAAAATCCCTTTGATGTTTAGCAGGTTAAAAAGTCTTACCAAAAAGTAGAACAAAGCATTCAGTGCTGTTTCTTACATTCTTGGTTTGGTTTCTTCAGTTCAAAGTTTTATTTGCTTTAAAGAAATGGAATTTTCCACAGACGATATCCTGATTGTTATAATATGTAGTTTCCCACTAACACAAAGAGGACTTTGATTTATCTTCTTTTATTGTTTAAAAAAACACCTGAGTAACATATGAGTAAACATGGTATGTTTTATTGTTCTGTATAGGTTAGCTGACATGGGACACCATGTGGTTGGTGCGGAAATTAGTGAAAGTGCACTGAAGGACTTTTTCACAGAACAAAATCTTTCATTTTCAGAAGAAATAGTTCCAGAAATCCCTGGAGCTAAATTATTGAAGGTATGTATCGAACCCTCTGTTTTCTTTGTAATTATGTAATTATTTGTACAGCTTAGGCTAAAAGTTTTATCAGTGGCTCAAAATAGATACGTCTCTGTTTATTGATTTAAAATATGGATTTGTGCAAACCGTGAATTAAAATGGCAACAATGAAGATTGGGCATCATTAAAATACATGTAATGAAGTAATGATATTGATTATTCCAAAAGTAGCATAGTAGGTAATTCATAGCATTAGGGCATTAATAATGAAAGTGGAATTAAAATCTGTAATTTATTGAAAGAATAGAATGTCTTGATGATATAAGTGAACTCCTTGATAAAAACTGTAAAATTCATCCCTAATTATTCTTCTGAAGTTCCTTTATTTAAACTGAAATGTTTAAGGCTAGATATTTCACTATTTTTAAGCATTATATACAATATATACATATACACATTTATATTAAAGCTCATCTTAAATGAAAATTAAAACGTTACTGCTTTTATTACATCAATGCTGAATTATTTTAATGCTTAATTTTGTTTTATTCCTATAAAAATAGTATAGCATTGCCACTAAGAAAATACAACTAATAATAAAATAAGATAGAATGTTTAGATGTTAAAAATGTTAATTATGTTTTTGTTGCTTTATCTTTTTTTAATTTATTTTTCATTGCAGTGCACATCTCTGAATATTTGTTTATATTGTTGCAATCTATATGATTTAACCAGGTAAGAAGAAATTAATACTGAGTCTTTCCACACATTTAACATATTTGATGGCTTTCAACTCTACCTGTTAAGCAGCATAGGTAGCATCTATGGGAAATTTTACTCTGGTTCAGGTATGTATATGATGGGTAATGAGCTTTTCATGCCATGAAAATAGACATTGGCTAAGCTCACACATATAAAACAAACCCAGGGATCAATCCTCTTCTTAGGCACTGAGTACTGTAACATAATACAGGCAACCCTTGACTTACAACCACAATTGAGCCCAAAATGTATGTCGCTAAGCAAGTCATTTTCTTAAATGAGTTTTACTCTATTTTACGGTTGTTCTTGCCAAAGTTGTTAAGTGAATCACTGCAGCTATTAAGTTAGTAACATGGTTGTGAAATGAATCTGGCTTCCCCCCTTGACTTTGCTTGTAAAACAGTCGTGAAAAGTGGATCACATGACTCCGGGACGCTGCAGTCGTCATAAATATGAGTCAGTTGCCAAACATCTGAATTTTGATCATGTGACCATGGGGAATGCTACAACAGTTATAAGTGTGAAAAATTGTCATAAGTCACTTTTTTCAGTGCCGTTGTAACTTTTAGCAGTCACCAAAGGAACTGTTGTAAGTCGAGAACTACCTGTATTGTGTAATGGTACAGGCCTCTAAAATATTTTAAAATATTTTAAAATGGCCCAAAACTCAGTATCTCCTGATACTTTGTTGCTTGCATCATAAGGTCTCATGCAAGAATATTGACATTTTATAAGATCTAGTGATCTTGGAAGAGTTTGGGAATTTTTGAGAAAACTTAGTGAGGATTTCCTGGATACCAATTGGGACTTTTGTAAGTGCTATGGAATATGTCATAATGTTCACAAATAATCCTAAATCAGAATGAACACATCATATTATAGCTTAGCATTATGTGCAAAGGAAACTATTATATCAATTCATTTTCTGATTCTTGGACCATATCAAGCATATTATATATTATATATTACATTATATAGGGAGCCTCGGTGGCACAGTGGTTAGAGTGCAGTACTGCAAGGTACTTCTGCTGCAGCCAGCTGCCTAAATTTGGCAGTTCAAATCTCACCAGGCTCCAGGTTGACTCAGCCTTCCATCCTTCCGAGATGGGTAAAATGAGGACCCAAATTGTTGGGGGGAAATATGCTGACTCTGTAAACCGCTTAGAGAGTTCTGTAAAGCACTATAAAGTGGTATATAAGTGTAAGTGCTATTGCTATATTGCAGTAAAATACATTCTCCCTAGTTCTGTAAACCTTTCAGCATCCATATCAAAGCTGTTTCTGTTTCTTGCTCATGTGTATTTTAAAACCTTTGTCTTCTGTATGTGCGTGTTTTGTTTTTTCTAATGCAACATTGCTTTTCTGGTATTACTCAAAATACTACTTACTATGTTTGATGTTATTTTTTTCTCTCCCGCCCTGTAGCTCTGTCACTGGTCATTTTGATGGGATTTGGGACAGAGGTTCTCTAGTAGCTGTTAACCCTTCTGAGAGAGAACGGTCAGTAACTGGGAACTGCATTTTATGTTCATGTTAGGAACTACAGTGTTGCTTGTCGAGGCCTTGAGTGCTGCCACGAAATTGTTCTTTCTTCCCGAGTGATTAACTTGCTCCAGTCATTCTGTATTGGGGATACCTTTACTAAATAACTTTTGCAATATTAGATGAAATAATTATTGGGATACTGACATGACAAGGTCATTACATTTAAATCACAACCGGGCTGTCACAGGTAATATGTAAGGTATGGTTAGGCTTGAATGACAGCAGTAGTCAAATACTTTATTTCTCTTCTGTTGACAACTCCTGGTGTAGCATTGCCCCCATAGGAGTTGCAATGCTGTAAGTTAGTGCAATGGACCAAATATTCCGAGAGAGCCATCGCGCTTTGCTAATGTAATTGTTTGCTTCAGGGTTGGTTTCCCATCAGAACAGCATGGTATCCAAGATAGCTTCTCTACAATTCATTGATTCTTTTCTCCACAATTGTTTCATGATCCTTTTAGCCCTTGTATTGGGTATTGCTCACATCTGGACTTTTGGAGCATTTTGCTTTTTTGAATTTAATTCTTAACCACCTTGGATGATGTTACTTCCTTCTGGAGATATGGGTTGATATATACAAACTCTGATCTGTGCCTTCTCTGGACAGTGCTACTTGTCAGGCTGAGTATAGGTAGTCCTCGACTTACGACCACAACTCTGCCCAGCATTTCTGCTGCTAAGTGAGACATTTGTTCAGTGAGTTTTGCCCCATTTTACAACCTTTCTTGCCACAAGTGAATCACTGCACTTAAGTCGGTAACATGGTTGTTAGGTGAATCTGACTTTGCTTGTCAAAAGGTGACTCTAGGACACTGTAACCATCGTAAACATGAGCCAGTTGCCAAACATCTGAAGTTTGACGACATGACCATAGCATTACTGCAGTGGTCGCGTAAGTTTGAAAAACGGTCATAAGTCACTTTTTTCAGGCCCGTTGTAACTTCAAATGGTCACTGAATGAACTATTTTTAAGTTAATCTGTAGTCCTCCTCTTCCCAAACCTGATGTTAGTTAAGGCTGACTGAGTAGGCTCTTCTGTAAGTAGAGCATGGATCTACTATGGCATAAGCAGGAGTTTAAACATATATATTTTGTGTATGTCAAACTAAACAAAATATGCTGCGTTATAGCACACAAACCCAGACCGTATAAAGCCTGAACCTGAAAATTTAAGTAACACCCTGCTTCTTCTCCTCCCCCCACATATATATGAGTGAGATCCAGTGTGCTGTTGTGGTTAATGCGCCTCAAATGTGCCACAATGTGTATTCATGTGCCACAACCTACCTCACAGGATTGTTGTGGAGATAAAATGGACGCTTGGTATATGTCTCCTTAGGAAGCAGCAGCAGCTGTGTTGTTTCACACTCCATGCTAAGCTGCAGCATAGCTTTTGCTTGGCGTAATTATAGGGAACAAACCTTTTCAGTAAGTCAGTTGTGCTTTAGCATGGTTAGCAAGACAATTTTCTGCATCAACTCCAATTGTTACTTTAAAAAAGTTTAAGAATCATAGCTCATCATGTTGTGTGAATCCAACTTTTCTCATGTTCTGCATTTTTCAATTCCTTCTTTGTAATAAAATATCTGTTTCTTGCCCTTTCCTTTTAGCTATGCCCAGTTGATACTATCACTAATGAACAGAATGTGTCGTTGCCTTCTTGTTACTTTGTTGTATGATGCAAGGAAACACAAAGGTAAGACACTGGGACTAAAGTCTCAGCTAGATATTGGGAGAATCTTACATCCTTTGTAATTGGAAGTAAGGTCTTAAGATTAGTGTGGGATTGGTCTGACACAGTGTTCCTCAAGTTCAGTGACTTTAA